TCCTCCCTGATCCCACAGAGATCCTCACAGCCAGCCCTCCTCTTCCTCCTCTTCTTCCTCTTCTTCTTCCTCTTCTTCCTCCCTGATCCCACAGAGATCCTCACAGCCAGCCCTCCTCTTCCTCCTCTTCCTCCTCCCTGATCCCACAGAGATCCTCACAGCCAGCCCTCCTCTTCCTCCTCCCTGATCCCACAGAGATCCTCACATCCCAGCCCTCCTCTTCCTCCTCTTCTTCCTCTTCCTCCTCTTCTTCCTCTTCTTCTTCCTCTTCTTCCTCCCCGATCCCACAGAGATCCTCACATCCCAGCCCTCCTCTCCCTCCCTCCCAAGCCCCACTGGAGCTGCTCCCATGTCACACAGACCTCCCCACCCCAGATTTGGGGGTCCAGCCGTGTTCTGGGGACCGTGTGTCCTCCAGGGCGGGATTAACAGAGGGCAGAACCCCACTGGGATGGGAAGTTCCCCATGGAATTGCAAGTTTCTCACAGCTCCACGCTGGAAATTGTGGTTCCCTCCCCTCATGATGGGGTTTTTCAGCCCCTGCAGTCCTTGGAGTGATTTTTTTCCTGTAAATCACAGCTTTTTAGGAGTCCTTGCACTGCAGAGTGGAAGAGGGGGGTGTCTGATCTTATCTTAATGAAAGACAGTGGCTTTGGAAACTCTGGGGATTTAGGGAACTCCTTTCTGCACCTTCCAGCCCTTCCTGGGGGCTGGGAATGGGGCACCCCCCAGCAGTGGGTGCTGTCAGTGGGGTGCTCTTGCAGCGAGGTGGGAGCTGAGCCAGCTCTGGCATTCCCTAGGGTGCTCCAGAGGGCTCTGGATGCTCCAAACAGCTCCAGGGGCTCCCAGAGGTTTGGGGGTCTCTCAGGAGCTTCTGTTGCTGTGAGGATGCTGGGGGGTCCAAGGGGCCTGGGCTGCTCCTCAGGACACACATGAGCTGCAGGGGTGTTCCCAGGAGCTTGGGGTGTTCCCGGGAGTTTGGGGTGTTCCCAGGAGTTTGGGGTGCTCAGGGGGCCCTGGGATGCTCCAAGGGGTCCAGGACTTCCCACAGGGCTCAGGGTCTGAGCACCTCAGTTTGCTCTGAAGCCCCCTGGACACTGCAAAGCCCCGGGGTGCTCTGAGGATTCCAAGATGCTCCAAAGCCCCCCAAAAGCTCCAAAAGCCTCGTGATCCCTGTCCCTGGAATGTCCCAAAGCCCCTGGGGTACTTGGCTGACTCCCTGGATGCTCCAAAGTCCCAGGATGCTCCAAAAGCCCTGGGATGCTCCAAGGCCTTCAGGATGCTCTGAGCCCCTGGGATGTTCTGAGCCGCTGACATGATCCAAGACCTCAGGATGCTCCAAGGGCCCTGGGATGCTCCAAAAGCTTCAGGAGGCGCTAATGCCTTTCCCTCTCTGAGATGTTTCAAGACCCCCGGGATGATCCAAACCCCAGGATGCTCCGAAATCCCCGGAATGCTCCAAAATCCCTGGAATGCTCCAAACTCCGGGATGCTCCAAACTCCGGGATGCTCCAAAAGCCTCAGGATCCTCCAAACCCCGGGATGCTCCAAAAGCCCGGGATGCTCCAAAATCCCCAGGATCCTCCAAAGCCCTGGGATGCTCCAAAATCCCCGGAATGCTCCAAAAGCCCGGGATGCTCCAAACCCCGGAATGCTCGAGCTGCCGGCAGACGCTGGGATGCGGGGTGCGGAGAATCCCCCGGGAAAAGCTGCCGGGCGGGGGGAACGCGGCGGG